GTTGGGACAGAAGTAAAGGGGTTGCATACATAGTTGCAAATGGGAGAGCACATCTGTACTTTCTAGTTAAACCTGCTGTGAAATCTTGGGTCCTGTTTTCTTTTTGTCCCTCAAAACAGAAACACAGGGTTTAGGAAAACACAACATGTTTTTTTTTTTTTTAACTCACCAGCTCCGCAGTCACTGAGGAGCTGCCACCTCTTTAGGGAGAGGATGAGATCAAACTCAAGCTGCAAATCTGTTCGGAATCTGCGAGAAGTCGCTCGGCCCCTGCTGTCTGTTCCAGTAACCAGAGGATTCAGGCTATGAGAGAAACACCGAACATGTGCACTGTCTCCTGTAATGGAGTTGCGGGTTATTCTGGCTCTTAGAAACCATAATTTTATTTCACAAATTTAAATACAGTTTGTTTAAAACTGAGAACAGACAGTGCAGCTGTAATACCCTCCATCCTGGCCAGAGCTGGTCTTACTGAACATACGTATCTCTGCTCCCGAGGACCAGGGCAGACTCTGCAAGTTGGAAGGGCCCAGGCTCGTGTGACCAACCTTGAGGAGACTGGAGCGTATATGCAGGGTTGTGTGCAGGACTCGATCCTTTGCATTTTTCTGCAAGTTATGTCCTTCCAAGGAGGGAAGGTTGCATCCCAGCAGGGACTGGAATTAAGATTAGTGAAACAAAACATGCAGCTAGGAGAGGACGTCAGTTGGAAACTATTTAAATGGTATGAAGACTTTGTAGTCCTGTAGAAATGTCTCTTTCCACTGTAGGGTTTGCAGACTGAAATGAACTTGGAAGGCTAGTACAGTAACAGAATAAATCTGCTTGAGTGCAGAGAGCTACTGTTTTAATACAAGATAACAACACCCGTTCCCATAGAGCAGCCAGTAGAATCAAACACCTTCTATCCAAGTAGCGCTTCAGCCAGTGCATCTAAAGGAACGTTTTTGCAAAGGCTACGTAGCAAGGCTTCTGTGACTGGGAACTAAGGAATGAAACGTTTCCCCAATGCTTTTGATATACAGTGGGAGAAAATAACTTACAAAAAATTTTTTTTTTTTTTTAAAATATTAGCAAATACACAATGTCATTAGTCCGAGGGAAGACTTCTGCACTGTGAAGCTAACAATCAAATCTATAGCATTTTAATAGTTCTATGTGTTAGGGCTAAAAATAACGGAGTCTATTTCCAGGGTTACATTTTCCCTCAATTCAAAGGTAAAATTGTGCTTCAGACCTTTCTGAAAGAATTGGGACAGTGGGGGTTGATCAAAGGTTTGACAACAACCGTGAAGGGGGAGGTAAGTTTTGTTGTTTTTTTTTTTTTTTCCAAGGGGGCTGGAGGTGGGGAGAAGGGTTAAGTTGTACCTCAATTTCTTCCTCAGCAAGTTTGTCAATCTCAAAAAGAGTCAACCAAGTAGCACCCAGGATTCCTCTTCTGCATTGCTCAGTCCTCTGTCTACGCTGAGAAGCAAGATACAGTTTCATCAGAGAACACCTTTTCATCAGTGCTATCTCAGGTCCTTTGATGATACAGAACAGGGAAGAGGCGACTAATGTTCTACATAGTTTTTGAACCTACCTCCAGCCAGATGCTGAAGAAACAGAGCACTAAGCACAGGATCCCCTTTACAAGGGTGCTGCTCTTATCCATCAGAAAGTAACGCTTGAACTGCTCCAGCGTGGCTTTTCATGCCAGCAGCTCTGCAGTAGTATGCCATGGCCCTGAAAAAGGGGCTAGGGCTGAAGGATACATTCCAGTAGAATGGTAAATGCACTAAAAAAAATCAGCTTTTAGCATTCGGTATCTAGTTTTAAACAGTTAACTTTATTTTTTAAGAGTCGAAATTTGGCTTTATGTAGGAGCACCCTTCAGAGAATCCCACACCTAATGCTCATGTGAACCAAACGGGAGCTAAACAGAACCAAGATCTGAGCCTGGATTAAGCATTACGGTGTATGGCCACAACACTCTCATTAAAACCCGCTTCCAGTTATTTTAGCATGGGTGAATACAGAGCCACATGCTGTAACCATCACTCCATCCAGGAAGAGTGGTCAGATGATAGTGGTCAACAGCTCAATGTCTAGGTGGAGATTGGTGACAAGTGGTGTCCCTCAGGGGTCCTTACTGGGGCCAGTACTGTTTAATATCTTAATCAGTGGCACAGACAGTGGGATCGAGAGCACCCTCAACAAATTTGCAGATGACACCGAGCTGAGTGGTGTGGCTGACAGGCCTGAGGGACGGGATGCCATCCAGAGGGACCTGGGCAAGCTCAAGAAGGGGGCCTGTGCGAGCCTCGTGAGGTTCAACAAGGCCAAGTGCAGGGTCCTGCACCTGGCCCGGGGCAACCCCCGGTATCGCTACAGGCTGGGGGACGAAGGGATGGGGAGCGGCCCTGCCCAGAGGGGTTTGGGGGTACCGGTGAGTGAAAAGCTGGGCGTGAGCCCGCAACGTGCGCTTGCAGCCCAGAAGGCCAACCGTATCCTGGGCTGCATCCACAGAAGTGTGGCCAGCAGGTCCAGGGAAGGGGTTCTCCCCCACTGCTCTGGTGTGACCCCACTTGCCGTACTGTGTCCAGCTCTGGGGTCCTCAGCACAGGAAGGACGTGGACCTGTTGGAGCAGGTCCAGAGGAGAGCCACAGAAATGATCAGGGGGACGGAACACCTCTGCCATGAAGCAAGGCTGAGAGAGTTGGCGTTGTTCAGCCTGGAGGAGAGAAGGCTCTGGGGAGACCTTATTGTGGCCTTTCAGTAGGTAAAGGGGGCCTGTAAGAAAGATGGGGACAAACTTTTTAGCAGGGCCTGTTGTGATAGGACAAGGGGTAATGGTTTTAAACAATAAGAAGGTAGATTTAGGCTGGATGTAAGGAAGCAATTTTTTACAATGAAGGTGGTGAGATGCTGGCGCAGGCTGCTCGGAGACACCCCATCCCTGGAAACATTCCAGGTCAGGTTGGACGGGGCTCTGAGCAACCTGATCTAGCTAAAGATGTCCCTGCTCACTGCTGGGAGGTTGGACTAGATGGTCTTTGAAGGCCTCTTCCAGCCCAAACTATTCTATGATTCTCTGAACACAGAGGTATTTCAGGGTGCCCTCCAAACCGTGAAACTAATGAAGGGAAAGGAGAGGGAATAATACAAAGAGAACAGAGATACTGAATGGGTTTGTTCTAACCTGCCTTGCTTTTCACCCCCCTGAAACCTTCCTGTCTTGTGCAGCGTAACAAACACTGGTTAAAGTAGGTTTAAAATAAGGGCTAAGGTGCCATCTCAGAAGGCAGCTGTCCCCTCCGTGAACAGAGAGCTGCTTAGGCTGTTGCACACATAGCCACAAGGTACATGTGTCTCAGGATAAACAAGTCATCAGGGGCCAACACGCTCCTGTGGGCATTCTCACCCTCGCTTTCAGGTCCTGTAAAACAGCCCCCTCAGTCTAGACTACCGTTCCAGCTGGGCCGCGTCTTCAGCGCATCGTGCCCTGCATGCACTTCTCCCAGACTGAGCGTCTCGTGAGGCAGCTCGTCTTGTACTGAAGCTGACGTCAGTCCTGTATTTTCTGTGCTTTTTCTCCACCTCCAGAGCGTCTGGTTCTGCTCAGAGTCCAGGAGGAAGGGCAGGGGAATCCGGGTAGTTATGTATGCAGTGTTGCTTGTTTTCAGTACGCTAAAACTCTTGGAAGTCAGCAGAGGTCCTGGCTACTGCACGTCTGGCTGGTTGTATGCTGCGGAGAGGAACCTTGCAGGCTGTGCATGAGGAAATCTGCAACAGAGACACAACCAGCATGCATATTACCCTTCTGCCTTGCTGCAGTTAGCTGCCACCCCTTGGAACTATCCCAAACCCCATCTCAGATTGCAGATCTGTGAGTACTGCTGCTAGGCAACTGGGTGTTGGTGAAAAACAGTTGTGACAGCGCTGAAGAGCTATGGCCTCTCTGCAAAGCCGCTATATATAGCGCGGATAATATGCAGTGCAGGCTTTCCTCTGCTGTCCTGCCAGCAGGCCGCAAAGGCAGGCCACTGCAGCAGGCAGGGCTCCATCCAGTTGGCCTGAGGGAATGTGCTGTAAGAGAGCCCATTACTGTCAAAAATTCACTCCTGCTGCGCAAATCTACCCCTTTCCTTCGCTGCTCTTATTTCTCTGTATACACTCCAATTACAGGGAGTTGTGCATTTATTTTTTCCCCGTAATAACGAAGGGCAGCAACATAGTCTGGATGCAGATACACAAGCTAATAGCCCATCCTTCGCTCTAGCAAACCAACTGCAGAGTGCACTCTGGAAATACAGAAGGCTAAAGGCACCAGGGTGCTCAGGTCATTAAAGGGGAGAAGCCAGGGCATGAACAAACGAGCGGGAAGTCGGCCCTCAATGTGTGTGTTCTGTCCTCCCTTGCACTGAAGAAGATGCTCCACGCTCTCCTTAGGTAAACAAGCACCTCGTGTGGGGTTTAATCCACACCCTCCCTTACTTGTCACTGACTTTGTGTGGCTTTGATGTGGATATAAATTAAACTCTTCCTTCAGTGAAAGCTTCTGCCTGACTTAAAAATGCTTTCACTGATATTGCTTTAGCTTTCCCCAGGTGTTTGCAGGTGGATGAATCCACATCCTTCACCCCTGTGCTTTAGCTATATTAGTACAGTTGATAAGGCGACCTTGTTTAGAGAAGGGTTTGGTTTTTTCAGCAATGTAACTTCTGCCTAAACTCTCACTCCCTGGATTCCTCTTCTTTCCCCCAGCCTCTCACCAGGTCCTTCCCCTTTAGCAGCTTGTCTTAACGACACAAAAAGAGAGATTAACTAACCGTCTCAAGAAGTTTTGCAGTAAGGGGAGGCCAGAGATGTGAAAAATGGAAATTATAAAGCACATTTAAAAGACCTCTTATCTTTTCCCTGTCATTGTCTAGTATTTTCCTTTTTTACTGTTGCTTCTCATTACTGTTCAAAATGGTGAGCTCTTACCTGGTGTTGGTCTCCGTTCAGCCATGCACAGTCAGATTTCCACATTGGGATCTGTGAATCCTTTCTTCCCCTCATTCACCAGCACAGGCTTTTCTGTCCTTGTATGCCAGACTAAAATCTGAAGAAGCCAACAGAAGTCATTAGCTGCATCTCTTCACTGCACTAACAAATATTCTTGCACATTAAATCAATAGTGCAATTTAAGCATCTACCCTGGAGCCTAATGACGCATTCACAGCTGAAAGGAGGTTTGCATAAAACTCCATTTAGGCAGGCCTGCTGCGACCCAAAATGCACAGTGCACAGAAATTACCCATTTTACAGTGTACTGTCTTGGGATGTTAACCTGCTCCTTCCATGTAGTTATCAACCATCTTCCTCCAAAGGCTCGTCAACCTTTTCAATGTTTCCTTCGTAACGGGAGAATCTCATGCGTGTTTCCCCACAGACCAAGTCCTTACTCTGGTTCCTAGTTGTCATGTTATGACATCCTCGGCCAGGGTGGACTTACTTGCTGGGCTCAGAGTGGAAATGCAAAGTCTTGCCACTTCAGGTCACGTCGTTACTCGTGCATTAGAGGGAAAAGGCAGTTATACCAAGATGTTCCAGTCATCACCATTGCCTTTGGTTGTGTGAAACTTTAAAATTAATTTTTCAGTGCATCTCTGAAAATCCATTATTGGAGGGACGACATCAGTCTGATCCCTAACCTCACTGTCACTTCTTTTTCACTTCCAAATTCTTTCGAGGCCCTTAAAAGGTGCAAGAGTGACACTGGTCTGGGAAGTACTTGCTGCTGCTCCAGTTCTCCGGTGCGACCTTTGCTGTCTCAGTGCTGCAAGACGCAGCAGCTAGTCACAGAAGTAGTACCCAGCAAGCATTAGTCTACCTTATCACCTCAAAAGCCCCAAATAGATTCCTTTGAAATGCTGGCCCCACGCTGGTTCTATCACTTTAAAGTCCCTCTGCAACTTGCTAAAAACAGAACTGAAGCTTCTACTAAAAGCTTCTCTCAGTCTTTTAGCAGCAAGGTTTAATATAGATCAACATCTGTGGAGGAGAACTGGAAACAATATAAACTGAAGAGGTGGTCTAACATTTTTTTTGGAGGGGGGGAGTATTGTAGGTAAATAGTGCCTACTAGCTGTGCTATACTGCTGGCACAGACAGTTCTGGAAGCTGTTTAAAATATTCTCCCCTCGCTAGACTCAATTATACTCACTGCTCCTAGAACCTGAATTGCTGGGAGCAGCTTTATTCCTTCAGAGCTCCAGTTTCCTGCTTCCCTTCACCTGTTCGCAGTGATATTTCCTACCTCGCGGGGGTTTCCCTCTTGTTGCTATGACGATGCTCTGCACATTTAATCCAGGTACCTGCAAACCATTTCATACCCAATCCCCGCTTTTCTGAAAAAACGAGGGCACGTTCTGTTCCTAAAGGATGAACAAAGCACTTTTCAAACCCCTCTGGTTAAACAGGAGCACCCCCACCTTCCCAAGAAGCTGTCTGACCAAATTCGTCTCTGATGTGAGCAGTCACCTCCTGTGTGGGGCTTAAATCTCGCCTGCTAATACTAAGGCAGTAGGGACCAACTGCTGCCTGGAGTGGGTCCAAAAAACCATTTCATCGCTCCCCCACAACCACTTCAAAGCCCCTTCATCCAAGTTAGCCGTTATTACAGTCCTGCTCACCCACTGCAGCAACGCTGCTGCAATTACTGCGTTACTTTCCCGTGAAAAGGCAAAACCAAACAGGTCTTGGCGCTATGCAAGCACTGGTTGTGGGCTCCTCATCCAACAAACAGAATGTATAAATCTTAATGCGGTCCAGGTGCTAGAAAAATCTTGTAGCCAATTCTCCTTTCCAGCGGGAGCAGGTAAGAGCTCTTTCCACTTCTGACACATAAACACTCAACCCTGCTGATGGCCGAGGGCCACACTCCGCCAGGAATGGGACTCCCACTTAAGCAACCCTAACCACAAACTCCATAAACAGGAGACCCCAACCACACATCATTAGATTTTCTTTAAACTGGATCTATCTTTTGCATTGTTAAAGCCAAGTGCCAAAAAAAAGACACTTAAATTAACTAAAATCGACCAAGTTTTGGAGTTTGCCTCTTGATGCGGCAGCTTCTACCATTTTTCATGCTGTGTTCTTTCATGTGGGAGGGAGATCACCGTTCAGTACAGAAACACCTGCTTTTCCTCTCAGCCAATTGCTTGATTTTTTCCACAAGCATGTTTTATGCCTCAGGGAAGCTTTGGCTTGTGCAAAAGGTACAGCTTGCAAGGGACTAAGCAGTGAGGGGGACCAAGGATCTGACTTTCCCTGAACAGTGGCTTCACACAGGTCACCTGAGGGAGTCCCCTTTAAAAATCTCTACTGCTGCAATACATTTCCAATCATTTACAGCCTTGCCATTCAGAATCACAGGACTCAAAACAGATCTAGGAGGTTACAAGGATGCATCTCCATAGCAGACTTCTTCCTTGTCTTCTAACAGGGAAGTAAAAAGCAAACAGGCAAGCCGACCTACAGTTGGAGGGGGTCGCAGGATTTCAAGCACACAGACCCTCTGGGAAGGGTTTCAATAGTTGTTATTTGAAATGGAGGCTGCACAACACGAAGAAAAAAGAGACACCAAGCTGACATGACAGATTTGCTTCCTCTCAGCTTGTGCTAAGCCAAACGTCTGCAGGCTCTCTCAGGCATTGTGGAGGCCCTCTTCTCCCAAAAGCGCATCCATGGTACAACAAATCAAGATTGCTTCTCCCTATACTCCTGCCTTTCTCATATGCTGAGAGAATTGTGGCCACTGCCATTTAATGAGCTGAGCTCAAACAGTAATCTTCAGCTCTGCAATCACACCAACTTGAAGATTTGTGCTTTGTGATGAGTATTATAGGCAAAACATACAAGACCACCAGCGAAGAAAAGGTTACAGAGGTCTAATTTGGGCTATTGCAGCTGCCCCACAGTTCTGAAGGTCCACCGTGGAGCAGCGCAGGCAGACGGTGCTGCAAAACCCGCACTACTCTGATGTAAATTGCAGCTTTCAGCTGTGGTACAGGTACAGGGGATGGCACTGGCCCAGCAGTTCTGGTGACTAATCAGGACAAGACAAGGCCAAAAGAACCCTCCAAGTTCTATCTGTCTGTCGCAAAAATCAACAGCTCGAGCGCTGGTGTCTTCACTGGTGTGCGTGTGACGCTTGACCAACAAAGTGCTGTCACGTAGCAGCCACAATACCGAAAGCTGACTGCAAACCACTGGTCACAAACCCCCATGAAAAGAGGAGCCCAACCTCAGGAACAATCTAACCCGACGAGGACAGAGCTGCTCCATCCGTACACTGCTGCTCCCCCCATGAAAGGCAAAGAAAACACAGAGCTCATGAAGCTGATTCCCCTGCCGTATGGGGCACCACAGGATAAAATCAGGAGGAAGCCAAGTACTCCTTTTCGAGCCTTCTTGCCTTAGGCTGACCTTTTCCCTCTCTCCTGCCCATTCTGAGCCAGTTTTAGCTGGTTTAGATCTGTGACATCACCCAGCAGCCAGTTCTGGCCTCCCTTTGCTGTGCACTTTTCCCGGCTGCTGCTGGGCCCGAAGGCTTGGTCTCCTCCATACGCACAAGGATTTATTCCCCTCCCAGAGCCAGTTCCCAGATCCCCAGTAGCCACAGCGTCGGTGTGTGGTTCAAGTACTGCTGGGAGAGCTCTCTCGGCTCCCCGTTCTCTAGCCCGTGTCTGACAGCAACCTGCTGTACCGACGGGGGCGTTTCATAGCGCCCACAAGCGCCCCTAAGGCCCAGACACAGCCGTTGCCAGTCCAGTGCAAAGCTGCCAGCCGATTCCCTGTCACAACACCCACCTAAAACCGAGCTGCTAACCCACAGATTCAATCTCAGGTATTACTCAGCCAAGAGATAAGGGAGAGAGGAGGAACGACTACTTTTAGCCACCTCTTCAGTCCCAGTGAATTGCTACTGAGACCACCTGAGTGCACAAAAGCCTGCCTCACCCAAAGAAACGCACCTATGCCTGTCTCCCTGGACAAACAAGTGGCTCCGGGAGCAGCTGGAACAAGAGATGCCGCATTTCCAACGACCTTGTATTTTGTGCCCTGTCCTCTTGTGCCAGCCCACGCTGAGGCTTTTTCAATAGCTGAGGCCGCTCAAAGTCTCTGTCCTTTAAGGGCTCCCTGGCTGAGCACACTGCAAACTCAGCTTGTTTCCTCAGGCGTTAGTAGAAAATGGGGAGCAGGATATGTCCCAGTTACATCAACCTGATGGGAATACACAATCTCAGACCTCTGTCCTGTGTCAATGGATTGAAGAGAGTACGGTTTGCTTTGGGGGCTGTGTGGGGAAATGCAGAAACATGGAAATACACAGCATGCTTGCAAAGCCTTGCTTCCATACAACTCCAGTATAAACCAACCTTTCCCTGCTGATAAGGAGGGATAAATCTCCCCTTTCTCCTTGGCAATTAATACTGACTTCCTTAATTTTCTCCTTCGTTTTGGGCAGTTCCCAAATCAAAGAAAATAAGCAGGATATATGTCTTTGGCCAAAGCTTAAGCTTTTTGCAGGAGTGTGCATTTTTGGGCTGAATTCTGATAAATATTACGAATACCAGCACTGCACACAGGGAAGGCAGCATTTTTGGAGAACAGATGTCTATGCTTATCTTACATACTTCTCTGATCCCTCCTTAATGACTAACTGAGCACATCACAATTTTTAATGTAAATCTCACTGCAAAGCAGGAGTATGGTTATGCCTAACAGAAGCAAACCGTGACAACTGCTGGGAGCACAGACTGGCACAATGAGAAAGAAGCCTATGCTTTGATCCCAGGGCAAGAGGACCCCAGACCATAGCCTACTTTTGTCCTTCTCTGCTGCTTGTCTGGACTCTCCTCCTCGTCAAACGGCTCAGCAAAACAGCAATTGGGAAATGGAGGCTGCTGGCATCAGCTAAAGGCAGAAAGGCAAAGCCCAACCTGCAAAGCTGCACTCGGAGTTTGCCAGGACCAGACAGCATTCAGTTCACAACAAGGACCCTTGTAAGATCTCCACAGCCTAGCCAAAAAAAGAAAGGCAGTCTGCTTCAAATCCTGGCCAGCAATTCCTGCTTCCTCTCCGTCTCTGACCTGCAGCCCTTGTGCAACAGCACCGACACAGCAGCCTGTCTGACAGCACCATGCTCTTCCTCCTGCCTGGAAACAACCTTTTCCTTCCTCTCCTTCCTCCATGTGTTCCTCCCCAGCCGTCATTTCCTATCCCCAGCCTTTTATCACAGCTTCTTTCCAATAGTTATTTACAGCAGGGACAATAAAGCAAAGATTGTGTAACTGGCCGTGGAGTAAACACCCCTAACCTTCTGTACACCAGCCTAAAAGCAACCTGCGCATCTCCCTTGGCCTGCTGGAAACACACTTATTTCCAGCCAGTGCTTTCTTGTTAGCTAGTAGGGCATGCAGCGCCCCAGAACGGAGCTAATTTTAATCCAATCTCTTTTCCCACCCTTGAGAGACCATCTGTGTTATTTATCCCAGGGCCGGACAGCCACAACCACAGGCACGTACGTTTAAAAACCGAGGCACGGCAGGTATCAGGTCATAAACAAAGTTGCTCCTCCCCCCCAGCTCCTCTTCCCTGCTCCCGGACTCCTTGCCTGAGCACTGCTGAACATTGAGACCCTTGTTTTTTCCGCAGCTGGGGGCTGTGGAGCTGTGCAGATGGAAAGCAGAGACAAAGGGTATTATTCAAGTTTTTTTTCCTGCCCCAAAAAGGGATGGAGACCTGGATCCAGCACTGGGTCTGTTGGCAGTAACAGCTTATTTGCGAAAAAAGAAGAATCCTCCTGGGATAATGAAGCAATAAAGACTCCCTAAATTGGACTGGCGCCTATTACAGACGAAGGCATGAGAGTGCTACACGGGGGTCTGTGATGTCAGGGGGACCCCCTCCACACCTGCGGTGCTCAGTGGACCCACTCGCAAAGCTTTCAGAAGCCTTCACCTGAGAGCACCTCCGTTGCTGATGTGCTATGATTGATGCCTGTCACACTAACCAGCATTGTCTTATTGTATCTCGTACGCTCCCCTGTCATTCCAGATAGATATCCATCTGTCGTCTCTCATCTTAGACTGGGAAGTCTTTAGGGCAGGAGCCATCACTGTGTTCCGAGTTTCTATGTTATTTAGCACATAGGGGTCCTGGTCAGTGACCTGGTGGCTCCTAGGCAATGTGTACTCTCAAATAATTAGCAGTCATTTGACAGCAGTAAAATCCCCCCAAAATGAATCTTCCTGGAAGCCTCCTACTGCTCAGAGCAGTATCTCAGGCACTAAACCATTTCTAGATTATCTCTGGCACCGAAAGATCCCGGTTGTTGTGGACAACTCCAGTGCTAGCGCACAGATGTCATGAGGGAGAAGGCAGCTTCGCAACAAGGCAGTGACTGTGTGAACAGTCTTTCCCTGCGGCCAAGGAACACCGTGGCTGGTTCTCCTGGGTTACAGATGGGTTCCAGAGGGCCAAATCCCATATGATGCTGGTTTACCACAGGAGTACCAGTACTCACCCCCCCGCCTCAGGAATTCACCGACATACATTTCACCTACGGAATTCCCTGCTCCAGGGGATTAGCAAGGCCGTAGATTAGCCCATCTTGAAAATAATTATATTTTCTAGAGGTAACATAAGAAAGCGGAACAGCTACAGGGGAGAGAAGACTCCATATTTCAAGGCCTGCAGCAACCACTAGCAGCCTGCAACCGAAAAAACCCACCTGCTCTCCACACATTTTGATCCATAATCGCCCGTTCCCAGCTCCCTTGCAATGGGGCTGTGCTCTCCTCAAACGCAGAGGACAAGTGACTGAACGATAGGGCTGGATGGGCTCTCTCCTACCTTGGGATCCTTATAACCCACGTGCGAGATAAACACGGTACCTTGGTGCAATTGGCAGCTTTCGGCTCAAGGTCATTCAAGGTCACTAGTTCCCGGAGCAGGCTGCTCTCTTGGTAGCCTCCCTTCACTCCTCGCAGTTTGAAGTAAGCCTGAGATCGCTGGAGAATCAGTCTGAGGTTCACAGCAAACCCCGCCATGTCTATAGCAAAGGGGCGATGGGGGTCGAACACCGTTTTCCAGCCGTAGACCTTCCCTGCAGCGTTCACTTTGGGTGACTCGTAGCGCAAGCCACCGACGAAGGCTACCGGCCACACGGACACCTTTCTGGTGCTGCGCATCTGGAGGCAAGGAGAGAGAAGGGTCGGGTGGGTGCTCACAGAAGGATGGGCTGCAGGCGACTTCCCGCACACAGACCGGCAGAACGACCCCACCTGGCTCCCCGTCCTGCAGGAGGCGAACGCCCCCGAGCTTCAGCGCAAGCCCTGGAGCTCAGAGCCTGGGGTAGGTTCTCGGACCAAGCTGCAGAGCTCCCTGCTCACCTGTACAGGGACGCACAGCCTGGAGCTGGAGAAGCAAAGCGCTTTGGAACGCGGCTCCTAACAATAGCAACGGTAATGGATAGCCACGGAACCAGGCACGAGTTCAGCACTAAAAACAAAGCTGCCAATAGCAAACGTAACTGAGATTTAAGAGCAGATTTTTGTCCAGAGGTCTTTGGAGCTGTGGGGCATCAGTCCTCCACATGGACAGCTGGGGAAATCAGGATACAAAGGAGGAAAGCACCTTGTCCAAGGCCATCTGGAAATGCAGGAATGGCGAATCATACCTAGGAAGAAAGGTGTTTTCTCGGAGAGCTAAGGAGTTTGAGCTGCAATCTCAGCCTATGAGCCACAGTAAGGCTAAAAGCATCTTTAGGGTGAGGCACTGCAGCTGTAGCCCCCAACCTCAGGGCCAGCTGAGAAGCGCAGCCTCTCCAGAAACTCCCAGCGTGCAGGACGGTGCTTGTAGCTGCTCCTGCTACACGGTGGAGCAAGGCTGGATGCCTCTACTCCCTGTAGAGTCAACAGAAACAGATAGGAGCCACCAGGGGACACTTCAGATGCCTGCACTTGCCAATGCAGATGCTTTGAATGCCAGTCTGCCCGCTCATCCCCCAGCGCCCTGTCCTGCTCTGCTGGCAGGCTCAGCCTCGCGTTCTGCTCTCAGCCCAGTCTCTTAGATCAGGGATCTCCCAAAGCTAATCTCATCACTGCTAATTACTGCAAACGAGACCAGAAGAGCTCTGGCACTTGCCCTTCTGCATTATACACATGCTAACGGCAGCCCCTGTCCACAGGGAACAATAGTGTGTGTCTTCTGCATTTCACAGCACATTTCATTGGCTCCATGTGACCTTAACTGCAGCTACATAACAGAGAGGAGAAGCCTCTACGAGCAGAGCACACGAGCGAACGAAGGAACCCTTTCTGCTTTATTAATGTGCAGTGTCTGTCTCAAGATGCTGCCAGAGGCAGCCTCAAAGGGGACTGTGGAAGAAAGGCATTCAGTCTGAATTTGCTTTCAGCTTTAAAAGCGTGCATATTCCTGTGGCTATCCAAGCTCAGGTGAAAGCCATCACAGAAGGGAAAGGGGGCATGTATGGAGCAAATCAATGGGAGATCCCTGCTATGAAAACTGGCAACTGGTGGAGAAAGAAGCGATCTTCCTTTCTTGTCCCTTGCTGCAAGAGCTTGGCCTCAGGAGAGCAAGGGAACAAGTAATTTTTGAGCTGGAAGCCAGGTGAGGTACAGCCAGGTGAGGTACAGTGAGGTACATTCCTCCAGGGTGGGGCACGGAAGGACGATGGCCGAGGTTTCTTTCGCTGGGCACCTGCTTCTGCACAGGCACGTTGGATAGCAGCGATGTTCCAACCCCGACAGGGGAAGGCAGCTCCTCATCAGCTTCCTTTACAGTAAAAACTGCCCGCCTCCCCATCACACGCCCCAGGACAACCCGGGGTTCCCGTCACTTCGCACAGGGCGCCCTTGACTCTGGGAAACACACTTTGCAGCGCAGTCACCAAGCCCCAGAGAAAACTTCAGGACAGCTGCAGCGGGACCGCTATACAGACAAGACTGCTCCAGAGCTCAGGAGAGGACGTACACAGCATCTCCTCAGCGCAGTACACAGCATCTTTTACACCCCACATGCCAACTTGCTGTGTTCAGCCCCCCCAGCAGGGTCTTACCTCCTCAAAGAGCTCCAGGCTGTAGGTGTTATCATCATCGGCAAAGTAAACAATCCCAGGCTGGCTGTTGTTTTTGTTAAATGTCTCTCTCAGCCATCTCAGGGCAAGGTTCCTCTGCATGGTCCCCCGGGGAATGCGGGGATCCCTCATGTCTCCCCGCAGCTTGTAGTTGCGGGGTGTCTCCACATTGAGGTGGGTGTAGTTCAGCCCCGTGTCCCGCAGCAGCCGGGTGATGAGAGGGGTGCGCCGCTGCGAGTCCTCCACCAGGATCCAGTGCAGGTTTGGCACATGCAGGAGGGTGTTGGCCAGGCGCGTCAGCTCTGCCTTCTGCACGGGCCGGCTGTAGGTGGGTGTAATGACGTGGATGGTGGGAAGGGTGTCTGACCACGGGGGTGGGCGGGTATAAACATATTCTGTCCTCACCACCTCCACAATGTCCCGGTCCGACAAGCAGTATTCCTTGGAGTCCAAGCCTGCAGCGAGATCACGCCGGGAGTCACCACCATCATCTGAACAAGGGTATGAGAGAGAAGAAAAAGCCGCATGGACTCAGTCCTCCAACATCCCCCGACTGAGCCAGCAGGCTGCTTGCTAAGAGCAGGTCACCCTCATGGTTTCAGAGCAAAGGAAACGAGCTTGGATGGAGGCTTTAATAAATAGGTACACAAATAAATAAAGGAATCAGGGACAAACACACATGAGAAAAGAAGTTCCTGCTGTTAGAATACCAGCACCACGTAAGGCCTGAGAGCCCAGGACAATGCTGCAGCTGAGTGCTCAGAATAAGCAACTTCAGAAAGCACCCAGAAGAGACAGGCTTGTACAGCAATTAGGTATAGATAAAGAAAACAGCAACATGGATTGACGATCTGTCATTCCTGAAGAGCTCCAGTGCTCTGGGCACCACGCTCAGCAGGACAGGACTCACGGCTCTGCACTCAGGCACTGGAGCACCTGGACTGGGAGGCAGGGAACTTACTGGTGGAAAAAAAACGAAACCAAAACCAAAACCCGAGTCAGTGAAGATCCCCAGCAGCAGCATCTGGCCAGGATACTGCAGTACCACACTGGAACGGGGCACAGAGAAGCAGGGAAAGACACACTACGAATCTGGAAATGGAGAGTAGAAATTAAAGCCTGTAATTGCAGGCTTTTTCCTGCAGAGACTTTCACCACCTCTGACTAACCTCTCCTCAAAAAGACCCTGCCAACCTCTGAACGTAACAGCCCATTCAGTCGCGCGGATGTGAACAGTGAACAGCATATATATAGGATACACTGATCCAAACATGTAAAATCCCTGCCAAAAGAATCTTGTTCACAACCAGCTCAAGGAAAAAAAAAAAAAAAAAGCGTTCATGCACCTGTCACTTTTCCAGGGTGCGACTTTCACACTTTGGTACCACCGCAGACCAGCAGGAACACCACGGTCTGCAGTTAGGAACTGGCAGAGATGAAGGGGCACCTCCATTCAGGGTATGAGCCAGCTGCTCTCCAGTGGGCACATAATACTTTGAGCCATAGATTCTGCAAAACCAGCTACTACCGGAACTTCAGATGAGAAAGAACAGGAACAGAGAGACGTTAGGTCTGACCCCGCAGACAGACACTACCTATAGTTTTTCCACAGCCTGTCACTCTTCCAGCGGCGCAGACTTTGACACTAGCCCTGAACTGAATGAGGGCCTCGTACTCTATGGCATGGAGGGAGGGAGGGTGTACATCTGGTACAGGGGTACAGCGACAAGGTGTCCTGCCCACGTTTGTATCAGGCCCTATATAAGGCAAAGCACAACACCATCACATAGCTGAACTCTCTGAAAGCAGAGAACACTGGAATCAATTCAAAAATAAATCTGCAAAATGCGTTGGACACGGACACAGATGTAATTAGCCAGGACGGTGCTTGAGACAGTTTGCAAACCCCTGCAGGTCAAACCCTCAGCTGTAAATCCTGGCATGTGTAAGCACTGCTGTTCCGTGCTTGCTAGCCCATAGATGCACATCTCTTTCTCAGCACCTGCTACCAAAGGATCTCAGAAATGCACTACAGAACAAAACGGTTTCTCCCAAGAGCTTTCAGGTTGGGCTCTGTCACCACTCGTTTTGCACGGGGGGCTCAGAGAGGCAAAGGCAGAGGAAGCGTCTTACCAAGGTCACTGCTAAGTTCAGGACTGAGCCAGAGCAGAGCAGTCTCTGTGCTGTAACTTCAGTGGCCATTCACAAAAAACAGCTCCTAGTTTTTAGGGTGGTGGATCGAACTGCTATACAGACAGCATATTCTTAGTAGTCTTTCAAGTCCTGTTTTAGAGCCCAGTAGATCCCTCGTCCTCTGAAACACTGTCCACCTTCCAGAGGGGATCATCATCATTTTTCCCTTAAGAACTGCCCAAAGCCTCATGGGTGGCTGTCAGTCCTCTGGGGGAAAGGTGAAGCGGCTCGGGACAGACTCTGAACTTCTGACAATTCAAACTGCACATCAGACTGTTCATCAAAAGGATAAGCAACTGTGGAGGATGGGGGCGAACATTAAAATGAAAAGGGGGGAGAATCTCCCAGAGAAAGGGATCAGAGAGGGAAAACGATCTGGCCGCCTTCCCCACAGACCAGCCACCCCAAGCTGACCCGCCTGCCCTGGTGCTCAGCAGAAGGGCAGAAGCAAAAATGAAGACGGCAGCAGGCAGCGTGGCTTCTTCCAGCCCCCAAGAGCTCTCACAGCCCTTAGATACTAGGACCCTTCTGGGCAGAGAAGATCCCTCAGAGCTTCCTGCATTCGTCTGATTTGGGCCAGGGCTCCGTTTAATGCTTTGTGTGACAGGTAGCGTGGAAGCTGACTCTCATAGCGGTGTTAACTCCACCAAACAATCAGGTGAGACGCTGGCTCTTGCTTTCTCCTTCAAGTGCAAGAGCACCAGTTCGCTGCTTTCCCGAGGACACTTAAAAAATGCTCTTTGCCTCCTGTCTCCCGGAGCAGCTGTCTCAAGTGGCAGCTTTGTTTGCTCTGCTCTCCTTTTTGCAGCTTTCCTCCTGGACTAAGCTGCGCGCAGAATGCTGCAAAGGCCAGCAGGAAGGGACTTCGCTCTTATGGATCATCAGGAAACAAAGGACAGACTCTTCCTTCAGCACTCTGGATGTAGCCCATAAAGAGCCCTCCAAGTGCAGCAAGTGCATCCCACGGCTTGGAGGTTGATGTCTCTGAAGAACCCCTATGAGCACTGGGCTGTTCCTACAGCAGAAGTGGGGAGGCTTCTGCATGAGCATGGACTGGGAGCTGAGATGAGCATGGCTGCCATGGAGAAATGAAATGAGAGAGGAGATGAGGACGAGGGAGGGATGCACAGACTTGGCATGGGCTGGTTTGATTTCTCTCACCCTTGTGCACTGCAAGCAGCGGAGCAATGGTGCTCTGGTGCCAGACGGTGATTAGTAGTGTCCAGGGCAGAACTATCAGCACGATAGCCAGGATGTCTCGTCTCTTCGGCATCTCCAAGACTGACTGGACCCACAGCTCCTCATTACCTGACAGTGAAAACCCCAGAGACAGAACAGCAGAGCACATGGAGAACAGAAATAAATGGGCAAGAAGGAACAAGGACAGAGAGAGAGAACGCGAGAGAGGGAGAGAGCAGCGAAGGCAACACGGCTCGTAGGTCTTACCAGTGCTTACAACCCACCCATTGCAGAAGCAGGTTTGGAGGGGCCTCGGCTGCTGAGACCAGGAGCAGGAGGGCACTTCTACAGGATACTGCTGGAACTGCCAGCAGGAACCTCAGGGACTCATTTGGAAGGAAACCTGCAACACAGAGCAGAAGTGAGTAGGCAGAGAAAAGTACTGGGGAGCTGCTCCACAGAGTTCACAAATCCTCCTCAAGAAGAGCAAATCCAAGTGGGGCAGCGAGCAACAGAAATGTGTCCCACCCCTCCAGGGAGAGATGCCTCCTGGGCGTCCAGAGCCTTGCTTTCCTTTGCATCCGCTTGTCAAGCAAGTCCCTTGCGTCAGCCAAGCAGGGCTTGCTCAGTGCCGCAGCGTCTGCGCTGCCCCCCAGCAGAAGAGGACCCTTCATCCACAAGCCAGCCAAGCCTCACAACACCACGCGCTAGGCCCGAGCCCCTGGGAGGAAGCAGAGACGGTAAGGACCACGTTACTTGCCCAACACAGCAGCAAGTGCTCTGACCCACCAGACCCTCTCCCTCTGCCAGGCAGAGCACTCAGGGTGACTGCGCCTTGGGAATACAGCCCCAGGGAAGCTAGTGACCCTGCCTTTTGCCTGTCATTGTCATCCCCTCCGCTCAGGCCACCCCCGCTGGCATCTCTGATGCAGCCAGTTTTAACTCGGGCTTCCAGTGGCCTGTGCAGGTTCATTTCTCCCATCTCGGAGGTGTTGCGAGTGGAGTATATTAAACTGCCACAACGGCTTAGTTTGATTCAATACAAGCACATACAAGATTTAAGCAGACTGTATTTTATCCAAGTATCTTGGCAAGCAAAGTACATCACTTAGCAGGGACACGCACGGCGGACAGTTTGCAAACACGGGTAGCAGTTTAGTACCACTGCTCCCATGTGGGGGAATGCATTAGTCCACTGCTAAAAGGGCTGCATTGCAGACAAGGGAGAGCCCAGAGAACACACAGACAAAGGCAGAGAGCGGTCTGCTCTGGGGAAAAGCACTGATCTCTCACTGCACAGCCACTGCAGTGCCCTGGAAACTATCGGATCCCCTCCTTAAACGACACGGGAGCTCCTCAAGCCTCAGCTGCGGCTATGTTGCTACTTCACGAATGTTTTTCCCGAGACCCTTGATGCTTGCTTTTTCTTGGTTGCATGTGGCAGTCAGGGAGAGATCCAGCTTCAAGTCCCTGATTAGCCCAATTTGGATTGATCTGAATTTCCCTTGGCCATGCCTTGACCACTAGGCTGTACAGTCAGCCTCCGGCATTGAGCCCAGTGGAAGACTTGAAGTGAAACAGCTCCAAGAACCAACACCTTGACCTTTTAAAGTGCAAGCAAGTGATATTCAAGTTGGTGGACAAAACCTGGTTCTTCCAAATTAGCACATCAATCACAGAGGTATTAATTTACAAGGGAAAACAAGGGGTAGGGAAAACACAGGTTGGCCTTTGTCCTTAAAAGGGACTTCTGTCCCTTGACAAAAGTTTCAGCGAATCCATTTTTTCTCCCACACGTACAAAACCCCATCTCGTCAAAAAATTTCCAGCCAACTGTAACAAACAGCCGGTTCCTTGCTCGGAGGTCTCTCACCAGGGAGAGACCTGCCACCTCCCGTACAGAAACCTGTGCCAGAGACCACGGAGCTGTGGATGCATCCTCCCCATGTGCACCTACCCTTCTCCAGCACCCTGCAGAGGATGCAACCAGCAGACGTGCTGGCAAACTGCATTTAGGAAATGCAAGGACCGAGCGGTATGGAAGGAGGTTGTGGTGGATCAGGGCAAGCTGCAGCTAGTGGGGGTGATAAGAGGGAGCTAGTTTTCTGGAAGGGTCTCCAGAGGAAACAACAACAAACCTCTAAACTAACCACCAAACACATCTGGTTCTACAGAAAGCAGGGCTTCCTGCAGTCAAGTACAGGGAACCAGCAGGAGAAAGCTTTTCACAGCCCAAGGATATGCTCTGTGCAGCCGGATACCCTGCAGACTTTCAAGGAAGCATTTCCCAGCAACATGGATTTGTCCCTGTTTTTTTCAGAGCTGGAGAAAGCAGCCTCATCAAGACAAAATAAACCAGGGAGGAAAAGGAGGAATTATTCCAGCAAACATCAGCCTTCTGCTGCTTCCCTGTCCAGCTCTCAGAGCCAGAGAAATCCCGCTGGCCTAGCACTGCCAAAGCACACAGTGCCCTCAGGAAAGAGCATCTGGCCTCATCCTTGCTGCCCCTGAAGTTGCTGTCAGTGCCTGAACAGAGGACACTGAGCGTTGGCATCCTTTGAATCCTCTAATAAAGCCAGAACATGTCCCTTGAGCATCCCTGTAGGGCAGAGCCGTAAAGGGCAGCCCTGAAAAGACTGAACACCTTGCCTAGTAAAGTGCCTTCACTGCAAATGCACCCAGGAAAGGCCTCTGCCACTGGGGAGGGGGTGGGAGGAAATGGCATGCTAAAAGAGCCACTCGGAGTCAATCCACAGCATCTGGCAAGCTGCCACAGTGGGCTGGCACGCATCAAATGCCCCATTTGTCAAGGGCAGCTTCCTCCGAATAGCGCTCTTACCTTAAAGATGCCTTTTCCCTGCCCCCTGCCAATCCAGACCCAAATTGTCAGCACCCTCCCATAGGACAGGCTGACCTTGGGCTTCGTGTGATGGACAATGGGCACCTTGGGGCTGGGGTGCTGCTCTGGTTTCCATCCCCTTAACACAGGGGAAAAGGAGCAGGCTCCAACGATTTGTGCATCGGTCTCTTCAGCATCAATTCCTTTTAATTTGCTACAGAGCATTTAGCAGCTCCCTGGTCAATCATCTGTCACTTTGGTGCTCCAGCTGCCAAGGGCCAACACAGCCCACTCGTGCCCCAGCAGAGCGAGCTGTCGGCTTGGCTTTGCAGCTCTGCTCGGGCTGGCAGCAGAGCGCTCCCAGGGCCGGCGCTGTGGGAACGCTCCCTCCCCGCGTCCTCCCGGGGCTGGCTGAACGCTGAGCTCCTTCTGCGCCACCGGCAGTTGTGGGGATGTGACCAGGTACCCCGCGCGCGGCCGCTGTCATTAACGTTCCCTTCCCGCTCCGCAGCGCGCTCCGCACGCCCAAAGGGACACGACCCCAGTACAGACCCGAACCGCAGATGGCGATGGTCAGCTGGGGGAGAACGCGGAGCCACAGACCGCAGCCTGACCCCCCCAGTCGCTGACCCATGCTCTGCGCCTCGAGCCGTCTGCCGGCACCCACAGGGTACCAGGGACTCTGCTCTGCAGCCAAGGCATTTGCTCGCTGTTAATTCCTGAAGTGATTTCGTTTTATTGATGACCCTGAGAAGCCTGACTGAAGGACATTGTAAGAATTCACTTGAGGCTGCTGGGAGCACTATGAAATCTGGATCCAGATGAAGTATTTCAAGCGTGTTCCCTCTCAACATGCCAGTGCAACTGAGGGCCTCAGTGCCGGGTAACACCAGTGCAACAAAGCCACAGTCCCACCTCACTGTCACAGGCTAAAGCTGCAAAAGGTGAAATCCATTTTCTCTCAGCTAGAAAATACACGGTCGCCTGCAATTTTACACTGCTGGTGAGAGAAGTTACAGCTTCACAGCCCAAGGCAGGGCTTGCCCTGCATCCAAAAAATGCCTTGTTACCGAAGCCAAATGATGCTTTTTGTTGCTGTTTACGGCACAAGTGAGGCTAGCCAAAAATTAGTCTGGGGAAAATTATGCTCCTCTTCAAGGCATTCACTCTATCCCTGCCCCGTCATAATACCACTCTCCTTTTCCCACTGAAAATGTTCAAAACAAAACCTGGCTTTGTTCAGATCATCAGTTTTAGGCTTCTGCTATCTCCTCCCCCACAGGCAAAAGAAGAAGGAGAAAGAAACTTAAAGCTGAATTAATTAAAAAGATAAACTCTCTTTTCCACCACAGAAAGTATACTTTCTTTTTCCAGTTTTGAAAAATCAGGCTAAGACACAAATCACCAGCTCAAATGTAAGCGATTTTGGGGTTAAAATACTTCCAAAACAGAGGTGTTTTGCATAGTTTGGAATGACTTTCCTTGGCAGAAATATATTTTGACATGCTGCAAGCAGAAGGGCTGTGCCGCATGGTAAAGAGATTTCACATCCTCCGGCAGAGGGCAATGGTGTCAAGGCATGACAATATTAAAAGGGCACTCATCTAATAAAAAAGCTTTAATAAATCCTGGAGCCATGTGTTAGTAACGTGCTGGATTATTAAATGCTGAAGGTTCTTTTTTTAAATCAAGTTAATTGGCGTCAGCTCTGACACTTACCGTAGGAAACACTGATTTGATCTGCAATCTGGTTTATAGTCAGTCCTACCTTCTTTCTTCCTTTGGAGCTGATCGGCCCCAGCGTCATTACTCCTTGGTTTTCCCACATTGAGCACAAATGATTTAGAATGTGTTAAACTAAAGAATTGCTTGAGTTGAATTTGTATATATACATTAAGTCAAGGGAGTAAAAATATTGTCCAGATGTAAGAAAAAGACACACAAAAACCCCAAACAAACATACCAAACACGTGCTTGTATTTCAAAACAGCTAGGAAATAACAAATAAACACAGCCAGAGCCTACAACAAAAGCTTTACAAAGAAAATAAACACTCATACTTCAGGATACAAAGTCTGCTCTCACTAATGGCTTTTCCCCCTGGGCAAAGTATCCCCTAACCCTAAGCACAGGGTCCCTTTCACCTTTGCAATAGAAACCGGTTCTGATCCCTGCTGAAAAAAATGATGCAGGAGCGCCACAAACCAGAGCTGGTCCGTCCGCTCAGCCCACCTCAACCCAGTGAGCAGCTGGACCACGACCCCTGCGACCCAACGCGAATTCCCAGCCAGGTTCACCCCCCTGAGCCCGCCGTCTCGCACAGAAAACGACCGGGGGCTCGTGAGCGCAGCACTGTCCTGCCCGTTGTACCGACGGCGAAACTGAGGCACGGGCAGCACCGGCTCTCCCTCGGAACCGCACCGCGCCGCCGCCGCTGGGCTCTGCCCCTGGGCTCCCCGGGGCCGCCGGCGGGCACACCAGCGGCTGGCTCCAGCCCTGCTCCTCTCCGCACCGCCTGGCAGGGGACCGGCACGACAAGCCTCTGTCTAAGATCCTGGTATTTT